CAAATGGATCTAAACATTTCAGACATTTTTGACTTAGACGCCAAACTATCAATGCACGAAAAAATGATGAAAAACATCTCTCTTCTGATGATCAACTCGTCGCATCTACACGTGGACATACTGGATGTCAGCCCCGGGGAATCTATTGCACTGACCGCTTTATATATTCCTATATTTTTCATTGGACTTTTGGGAAATATTACTATTGTCTTGATAATTGGAATATCCCCTCCGCTAAGAAATTCGACGAATTGGTATCTTTTCAATCTTGCAATAGCTGATCTATGTGGTGAGTATCTAATTTTAATTATTCATTAAAACTAGTTAGTATTTATTGAATTAATATTCATTTTTAAATTTGGAGATTATTTTTCCAAACAACAGTTATGTTTGATATAGTAAAATTAGTGCAAGAGATTTTAATAATGCTGTCTTCGAAAAGTGAATGATATTTTTGCAAAATGAGTATAATTGTTATAATAATTCATACATCGATGATTCACTTTAGTAGAGCGCACATTTCACTCACAATTTCGCAAAATTCATTTGGTATAGTATCATTTTCATGTTTGTAAGGCCATTCGAAGTTTTTTCAATGTTAAGTGTCCATTTTTTGACTCTCCTCATCAGAAAAAAACAAATACAATCCAGTCCCGATATCGATTATCGTGGTGTAAACCTCCGAAATCTGTCAATTTCTTTATGTATACTTTTCTAGAATATGTCATAAATAGGAATATTTATTAAAGCAATATGAGCTGTATTTTTGAGCATTTTATTTTGCTGTTAAAATGTGCTGTTATGATAAAATCCCTATGTTATTTAAACCTTTATGATCAATTAGACTAAAATAAAGTATTCAATTTTTTTTCAGAAGAAAGGTTTCTGTACAATGAAATGTGTAGTGTTTTATAAGAATTCAATATTGTACAGGATGACAATAATGTAATTTCACTTCATTCAAAGCTTATAAATAGTTCTTTCATCGCAAATACGAACAACAGAAGTTTATAAACTTTCTTTTTGTCTGTCATTGAAATAGTTATTTACAATATTGCAACAAACATTTCCGACATCAAAGTTGCAGCTCGTATTGCTTTAAGCATTTAATACTTAGATTTTTTACAAAGGAATAAAAATTAATGAATTTCAATCCTTTGATTGGCATTATTGTTATGACTATACGGTCTTTTTTGTGAATAGGTAGATAGGTTTTTGAGTGATGGGTGGGTGCTAAACAGAGAAAAAACTTGGAATGGCCTTAACAAGTTTCGTCAATAGGAACAAATTCGGTCAGGTCGCAGGAAAAATCATATGTCATATCTAATCTATTTAGCTCTAAATAACCAATTAAACGCCTCGTATTAGCGTTATATATCGAGACTTATTTTCTGAGAAATATTCCAACAAAAACTCGATTCAAATTGACCTGAAAAAATCTAAAAATACTCAAATTAAACCTTATTGACATAGAGAATGATTACAAACGACTCCGCGCAAACACGCATTGCGTGTCCCAGACGATTCGTTAACATGGTTGAATACACATGATACACATTTGACTAACTTTGTCAACATGCTTGACAAGGTTTTATACAAATTAAAAGACCTCTTCCTTGACAATATCCTAAAATTTGATTGTTACGTATATATTTTAGACTCTTCAGTGCTGACAGATTTATCCCAGACATATTTTGAATGAATTCTGAATCTGGGCGTAAAAAAATAAATATGACATCTCTTTGAAAAAACCCCAGTTAATTTCGTCTTTCTCCATCTAATTTCAAGTGATTTAAATCTCTCTTTAATGTCATAAAAACCATATCATCACAATAAATTTGAATTTAATGGATGGGGAGTGAATAAAAAATTTAGATCATGACATCACGATACACATCTATAAAGTTAGAGATCTGAATCTACTTTGCTAGCATGAAAAACAATTAATTATTTATTAAGATTTCTAATTCCATTAATTTTTATCTTTGAATATCTCTCAAACCATTTAACCAAAACTAAGTTGATTTCTAACCGAAATTTTCCAAAGGCATCAAAAGCAGTTACTATATACATCACATAAAGACGTGGTCAAATTTCCTTAGAATTGCTCTCACTAGATTTCTCTTTTGAGTAATATTTGCTAGCAGTTTTACTGACAGAAGTTCTAGTCTTGATTAATCTGGCTCTCAAAAGTCATCAGAATGGAAAATTCTATCGTAAAACCATTTACTATTCTCATCTTGCCAATTTCGTCACCAACCCGATCACAATAGGGCACACTGAACTTTTCCATTATGGAAATTCCTGTCTCGGCAAGTCTACGAGACAGTACAAAAATACAAGCCATTAGATGACAATATCAGTTATAAATCAATTACCAAACTGACAGGTTTATTAATAGGTTTGATTTATTACTGAAATTACACAACTTTATCAAATCTTAGACATAATTTGTGGATAAACTTTCAGTTTCTTTCCTTTTTTTTTTACCCCATCCTTGTTATTGGTATAACATTAAAATAGCATCACCCCTATACATCTTTCTACGTATTTTGAAGTAGAAAAAAGTATTTTCTCGAAGTGGAAATAAAGACGTATGCTGCTTGTCAATAATTTATCACTGGAAAAGCTTTTTCGTCCACGCAATTTTTAAACTGCACTTTCATTGCTCTTTGATAGTTTTTGCCAATATCTGAGTACCGAAACCGTCACAATGAGCAAAAGATAACCGAGATGATGAACCACTTACATCATAAAAGGGAAAAGGATTAACATGTTTTCAAATAATTCTAGGGAAAATCTGAATGAAATTCTGATTTCATTTACAATAATCAGGCTAAAAGCCAAGGAAATTTGAAAATTGATTTCGTGTAATTGATATGGGATGGTATTGACCCTTCTTCGCTTGGGGTACCTGCATGGCAATAAAATATGCGAATTGCACTTTTATCGACAGGAAAAAAAATCAGTCAATTCAGCAAGCTACTTACACATGTAGACTAACTAGATTAATCAATGTACCTTCATCAGTACATCCTCAAAAGGAGGTCACATAATTCAATCAGATTGTCTGTCCTCTGTCAGTAGGATTAAAAAGGAAAAAAAGGTTACAGTGTTTTATGCAGTTTTCACACAAGCTGTGACAAGTTGCACCTTTTGGAAAATCATTAACAAAAATAATTAATAAATTACACCACGTCATGAGACTGTATATATGAATTGATTGCTTCAAAGAGATCCATTCTCTGTAGGTTAGAATGTACCACTGAGGAAAAATGATAAAAGCAATAGGCCAACAACGGATCATAATGCTCAGCGGGGTAAAATCAGGCCCGTGTTTATAAATACTTGCCTATTAATTTGAACGCCTGTAAACTTATAATGTTTTCAACAATTTGCGGCAATTGAACACGTCAATTTCTTTATCGGTCTTCTTTCTAAAATGTTCAGTCACTGGCACTTGTTTCTGTAACAAAAGTTGGGGTAACTTTTATTAAATTTTATTATTAGATTTTAAAATACTAGTATATTGAGCATGACCCTCCCGAAAATTGCATTCATTTTTGCTTTCAAAGAAAACGTTAGCTGTGGAAAAGTGTTTAAGTGAAGTACCTGCTCTCTCTCTCTCTCTCTCTGAAAGAGCAACAAACCCTTGGAACTCTATTATCAAAACATATGATTGAACTGGACGTTGTCATTCAGCATTACTATTTTTTTTTTTTTGCACTCTAAAATGCCAGAATACTGGGTATAATTCGTTTATTGAATTTGACATGTAAAGATCATTCTTTTAAACATTCAGGAAATTTATATTTTCTATTTATTTGCTTAACAATACGAGTAAACGCGCTGACTTTCTTATAAAAATAACAGACCTTTTATTTTTTTTTTAAATAAATGAGTTGAATTATTTCCTTGGATTTAACTACATGTATATACATGTATATATTTTTTAATAATACGGTATGTCCGTAAATTATTGTAAGAACGTCCTGAAATGAAAAAAAAAATCATTTGACTGAAAAGCACCAGGTGCAATTGGTTCTGAATGAAATGAAAGACGTTGATTAACGCATGTATTGTAAAAAGGTGTGCCGTGTAAGTGAGAGAGACCACTTGATTTTCTAGCTTTGTTGTTCAGGAAAATTTGATGCTCTCCTTATAAGAGTACGAACAAGGTAATTGAGGAGATACATAGCATAAATCTATACCTTAATGAAAAGAGAGTTTACTTGAATAATGGAATACGATATTAACTGAATTCTTTTTACTCCAGTCTTTTTACTCGAATGATAATTAATTATGACAGGCTAATCTCTTAAAACATTGAAAATGAGAAGTGATTTTCATTAAGTTCAGAGAATTTAAACTTTTTTTCTTTAAGAGAAAGACCTTTGTATTATTTTACGTGTATATTGTCTCTTTTCCCCTCTTTCAGTGGATTTGTTTTTTTCCCCCTTTTTGTGTGTGTTTTCGTGCATGGAAGGGGGGGGGGGCTTCTCGAAAACTGCGAACAAATTCCACGAAACTTTCAAAAGTACACATCAATCAGAAAAATAAATGTTAGAAATTAATAAAATCACCACCTATAAAGGATCTGCAGAGGCTTTTTTTTTGTTGCTGTAGCTTGAGCATAACAAATTCCAGGATTTGGGGGGAAATGTACCAAAAAGTAAGTTAAGAGAAAGGTCCACCCCCACCCCACACGAAATAGGATTTTCGAGTCTGGACAGTTTAGCTGGGATTTTTTCTTGTTTGATATTTTTGGGAAGTTAACACCCCTCCCCCATTCTTAACCCGTTGCTAGGGTCTGCTTTATAAACATTAGAAAGGGAGACTGTTCGATTTCATGGTTTTCAACATCTTAATCAAGGTCTAGATATATACCTGTGAACCCTACATGCCACATTGCTTATATAACGACGTTTGTTGAGTGACACTTTCTTGTCTCTTGATGATGTTTTATTGAAACTGATGTTGGAAATCAGGATTGAGGAAAAGTACCGTGTTATTCCATTGTACAAAAAAAAAAATAACAATCGCGTATGACTACTTTATAAGTTTTGCAAAATATTTTTTTCAGGGATGTAAGAAATCTCTCTCTCTCTCTCTCTCTCTCTCTCTCTCTCTCTCTGCTGAAACAAGTGGAAAACCAAGTTATTCAAACACAAAAGATAATTCCTAGCAAAATTCGCTTATGCATGCATAAGGTATGTTTGCTATTTACAGAACACATTTACCTTTAAATTGTTCATGATTCTTGTTACACAAGAATGTACAAATTATTTCTTGCACTAACGTATTGTCTTGCTTTCCATTTAAAAAAGAATCAAAATAATTAAACATTCATATATCTATTTGAACTTCATTTATTTTCGGAGCTTAGCTTGAAAAAAACTCGATCTGTTACGGCAAATATTATCCCGCCCAGTGTATTGGTACTTCAGCAATATATGTAATTTTGTATATATGTCATGGTCATATATAATTAAATTAAGCCATGGACTGTTCAACTCCAAACCAGAAAAAGAGGTAGAGGGACTAAAACAAAAATCTATAGTAATGAGGTATATTTCCCCTGGGAGAGAGAGAGAGAGTCATCTTAAGGTTATTAATTTACAATACGAAATAATTTACAATACGAAATAAAAGAAAAATTAAAATTCCGTGATAGTGCAATAAATCTTATATCTTTTGTTTGCCTTTTATTCAACGTTCTTTTTTATGTAACGTATTATCTTCATAGCATAATTTGTAAATGACCTGTTTCTAAGGGAGAGAACTTCAATAGGTATCCAATCCCATTTCCTTTTCGAAATAAATATTGATTAAATAAAATTTTGTCGGGTTTAAAAACTGCTCTCTCTCTCTCTCTCTCTCTCTCCCAAACATGAACTTCAATACTTAATGAATAAGTAATCTGATAACGTTTTTGTATCTTTCTGCACAAAGCTAGATAATTAGTTCCAGGGGACGTATAATACATGTTTCCATCTTCTTGTTTCTTTAACTCTGCTATCTGAAAATTTTGGAATGTTTTTTTTTCAATTATCACTGAAAATCCTGCATTTATTCATTGGGTCTCAATGATAAAAATTAAGATATTTTAATGGGCAAACTTTTCGTAAGAGTTTGTTGCTAGTAAACACCAGCTTCATTCTTTAATTGTTAGCATAAGGGACAGCATCGTCTCAAGCCACGGTCCGGAGTCCGCATATAGCTCCTGGGAGAGGATCGTACATTTTGGCCGTGGTTTGCGACGATGAAGGGACAGCATCCCGATTCCAACTCCCGAACATTAACCAAGAAATTTGAGCAACAGGTGTCACGAGTTTTTGTTTTACTTTTCATAACTCATTTTTTTTTTAAATATAAACAATAATTAAGTCACTCAAAGCCGCTCACCACGTTTCCAAAAATTGATAATACCTTTCCACAAAAATGAATTATAATTCCGGATTTTCTTTCGATTCCGCAAGGAAAAAAACCATGGTATTATGATTCTACATATAAGTTACTGTATCACTGGCAAACAGGCAAAAAAAAAAAATCAGTACCAGTTAAGTTATACTATTCCATATTCGTTACACGAAAGTCATTTGTCTTTGTAACACTTGCATACTGTTCGCTGGTGCTATCAGGAATATGATTTTGATAAGCGTTTTTGCAACTCATCGCCACAGGTAAATTGCTACATGTAAATATTATTTTGAGGAAAAGTAACAAGAATTTTTGCGTAAACGTAAAAGATTTTTTTTTTTTCAAAAGACCAATGGCTACCTTACCAAAGACACGGCCGACTCAAGAATTTAAAAGGAAATCACCTGATTATATTTAAAGATATACCTTTTCAATTCAAGATCAACCCTTGTAACACCACGAGTGTTATTTTCATAGTTGTCATATGACAATCAGTTAACATGTTCAATGATCTAATTTTAAGACAAAAGATTTAGAAAATAAATAAAAATAAAACACGTAAAATTATTCAAATATTGTCTTTCTGGTTAAGGGTGGTCTTTGGTAACAGTTTGTAATCAATTAGGTGATACCTCAATATTTAATACATACTCCATACAAACTGGATGATTTTTATCATATTTTTAATATATTTAACATACAAGTAATAGCTATTCAAAAAGCTTGCCTGACTAAATCAATCAATATCTATGGGACGTATAAGCAAGAGAATTAAGTGCTAAGCGTCTCCGTCATCAAGGAGCGACATAGTTGGTATACTTCATTACACAAGATGTACAATTGACTTTCTTAAATGTCATAGTAACCAAATATTACAGATTTTAAACGATTATCAAAGACATGCCACTGTTTGTTCATTTATTAGTTAGTCCACGGGCTGACTAGTTACGTTGGGATGAAACTGCAAGTGCGCTTGTCTGGGGAAAATAGTTAGACGAGTCTTCCTTAAGAAATTCATATTGCTCTCATACCAGAGGACGCGCTTCTTCATGTACACTCTCTGGTCAGTGATAGATTGATGAGACGGCCTCTATTTATAGACTGGTCTGTGTACCGTCGTTCTCGACGAAGAAGTAAATTGTGAACAGGTTTAACTAGGAAAGTTGTTTTGAAGTGTTTGAGACAAAAATGCTTCAATCCTGCTCTAGGACGCAAAGTAAATGACCCGTACACTTTATAGCTAGAGCAAAACAAGATGCTGATACCCCCCCCCCCCCCCGACAAAACTCACTTGCGATGATGGTCTTACCATATATTATGAATGAGTTTAAGGGTCCTCCACACCCCGTGACTTGTGACGTATATCGAGAAAAAATACTTATATAGTTTGTGCACCGACGATTTGACTGCCACCGCCTGTAAGAGAGTCTTATAAACGCTTTAGATATTAAGTTGTCAAAGTAAGAGTATGCAGTCAACCGAGAGCGACACCCTGATCATAAACAATGAACACATGGATCACGCCGTGATCGAAAGAAGAAAAAGTGTCGATCTTTTTCAATAAAAAACAGCAGACATTTGAGTTTTTGTTGCATAATGATTCGTAGATAACAGGTATGTACGGAAGCGTAATAGGGCCGCAGCAGTATCTTTTATTAATTTGTTTTAACAAATTACTAATTTGTTATAACAAATTATCAATTTGTTATAATAAATTATCAATTTGTTAAAACAGATTACTAATTTGTTATAACAGATTATTAATTTGTTATAACAAATTACTAATTTGTTATAACAAATTATCAATTTGTTATAACAAATTATTAATCTGTTATAACAAATTACTAATTTGTTATAACAAATTATCAATTTGTTATAACAAATTATCAATTTGTTAAAACAGATTACTAATTTGTTATAACAGATTACTAATTTGTTATAACAAATTATCAATTTGTTATAACAAATTATCAATTTGTTATAACAAATTATTAATTTGTTATAACAGATTACTAATTTGTTATAACAGATTACTAGTTTGTTATAACAAATTACTAATTTGATATAACAAATTATCAATTTGATATAACAAATTATTGATTTGTTATAACAAATTATTAATTTGTTATAACAGATTAGTAATTTGTTATAACAAATTACTAATTTGATATAACAAATTATTAATTTGATATAACAAATTAGTAATTTGTTATAACAAATTAGTAATTTGTTATAACAAATTAGTAATTTGTTATAACAAATTAGTAATTTGATTTAAAAAATTATTATTTTTTTACAAAATATGAAGGTGAATACAGATCTATGGAAGCCAGGTCAGATCAGAAATCTTATTTTAAATCGGTTTTATGAAAACGTAAAGCATAAGCTTTGGAGAGCTTTTGATCAATATGTTAATGTGGATTTAGATGAATTAGCAACTTAGATAAAGCACTTTAATTTTTGTTTAATTGCAGGTTTTTTGTTTTTTTTTTAAATTTTTGTTTTGTTTTGTTGTTGTTTGTTTGTTTGTTTGTTTGTTTTTTTTTTGTTTTTTTTTTTTTTGTTTTTTTTTTTTTTTTTGAGTCAGTTCCTTGGAATAGATTTCTCTGTTAGACAATTAAAAGAATAGCTGCATCCCAGGGATTATGTAGAAGAAATACAGAATGTTGGATCCTTCGAGAAAAATTCGAAGTTTCGGACAATTAAATATGATTTCAACGTCGTCCATTCAAATCAACACTTTTTTCAATGTCAACACAGGGGGCAAAAGGGGAGAAGACCTATTTTTTCCTTCTTTACACATGTGTAATATTTTGTGTGTATTGTTATAACAAATTATATTGCTTAACGATTTCTTGTAAAATATATGAGTAGTCCTATATGTGACAACCAGGATACAAATTACAAATGAATTTGAAGAAACAACTGTCAAAGTTTTCAGCCAATAATAAGTTATGAAGGCTTTAGTGGGACTTCGAGGGCTTTTCCAAAAGGCACGTATTTTGATTATAAAAATTACATACATACACGAAAAAATTTCACAAGGTATCTAAATTCAAATTTTACGAAGTACTACCCACTCAAGAATATTGTTTATTTTCGTTTTCAAAAAAGGTTATTTAATATTACAGAGTGTTTATCAATTTTTCTATGATAATTTATCTACAAATTCATTTTTTATCAATGTTGCCTTTATTGCCCCCAGCATAAATTGGGGCCAAGGAGGTTCACCAGAGGAGCAGATTCAGGTTTATGCATTAGGAAGGCGGTTTAGTTTAAAATATATTTTATTCATGATACATAAACTGGATTGAACAGTAGGCATAAATCATTTGGTACATGTATAGAATGAATCGAGAGAGAGAGGGAGGAGGGGGGGGGTAAAATGAAATAAAATAAAAGACATATTGAAAAAAAAAACATATTATAATGAACATGTTGATTCAGGGTGGGAAAAATTCCCTCTCCAAATAACATGTCTTTGATAAGATATTTTTTTCCTAGCATACGAACGGGGATGCAATGACCTGGTAAATGGGAGTCAAGGACGGAGCCCTGGTGGGGGAGGAGGTCAAAATTCAAATAAA